TGAAAATATAATAATACTAATCAAAATTCTATATATAATAAAAAAATCATTTATGGAATGATTCTTCTTATTATTGTTTGTATTATTTGTTGTTTATTATATTTATTAATAAAAACTTTTCATTAAAATTCATTTTTATTTATCAATTAAAAAAAAAACAAACATTAAAACTAAAAAAAAAATATGTTTAAATATTTTGAATTAATGAATTTAATGAAGAGTATCTTCATCATCATAATGAATTCTAACAACTGGTTTAATAAGATCTGCTGGTTTATTCTTCATTAACATTAATGCATCTTCAACTTTTTCTAATCCTTCAAATCTATGTGTAATAAGTTTAGAAGTATCTAATTTACCAGTTGAAATAAGTGATGCTAATTTTTCCATTCTAACTCTTCCACCTGGTGTTAAACCTCCATGAATATGTTTATGACCCATTCCAACTCCCCATTCACTTCTTGGAATATCAATATTATCTCCTTCTCCAAGATAATTAACATTTCCAATATCTGATCCTGGTTTAATCATTTTTACTGCTTGTGCAAATGTATGAACATCTCCTCCTGCAATAACTACTTTATCAACTCCTTTTCCATCTGTAGCTTTAAGAATTTGTTCTACAATATCTCCATTTTTATAATTAATAATATCTGTTGCTCCATATTCCATAGCAATATCACAACAATGTTTTCTTGATCCTACTGCAAAAATTCTTCCTGCTCCAAGATGATTTGCTCCTGCAACTGACATTAATCCAACTGGTCCAATACCAATAACACAAACTGTATCTCCAAGTTTAATATTAGCTAATTCTGCTCCATGGAATCCTGTAGTTACCATATCTGATAACATAACTGCATCTTCTGCTTTAATATCTCTTGGAAGAAGAGCAAGATTAGCATCTGCTTCATTAACATGGAAAATTTCTGAAAAAACTCCATCCTTGAAATTTGAGAATTTCCATCCTCCAAGCATTCCTCCTGAATGCATTGGATATCCTCTTTGTGATTCTTCTTCTCCCCAATCAGGTGTAATAGCTGGTACAATAACTTTATCTCCAACTTTTAATCTTTTAACTAATGACCCTACTTTAACAATTTGTCCAACTGCTTCATGTCCAAGAATCATATCATGTCTATCTCCAATAGCTCCTGCCCAAACTGTGTGTGTATCTGATGTACATGGTGCAAGTGCTAATGGTCTAACTAATGCATCAAGTGGTCCACATTCTGGAATTTTCTTTTCAATCCATCCAATTTTTCCAATTCCAAGCATAGCAAGTCCTTTCATTGTGGTTTTTCCTTCCATTTTCTATTGTATATAATTTTTATATTTTCTTTCCTCTTTAAATATATTTTTTATCGTACGATAATCATTCTTTAATCTTTTTATTTCTTTTCTTCTTTCTTCTTTTTATAATGTCATTTCTATAATTAATTTATGGATTTTTCAAGAAATTGAAATAAATTGTAATTACAATTTATTTTCTGTTGAGTCACATATCGGGATATATTCCTTATTTCTTTAAATCTCTATATTCTCAATATCTATTTTATTTTTTATTCCTTCTGAATTTATGGAATTCATTTCTTATCTTCTTTTCTTGTTTTGTATTATATTTTATTAATTATCTTCCTTAAAGTACTCATGAAGTCATCAAAAAGCCTTTCATTCTAGTGATGAACACAACATTAACCCTTTATTTTTCAATTATTCTATATAATGGTATATTACTTGTTATAATATTATCGTATGTATGTTTTATAAGTGTTTAATAACATGTACAATATGTTAATTTATTATTTTTCATTTGATTGTGATTTGTTATCTGGATTGTAACCATTCAATACTACAACTTGATAATCAATGGAAATAACAAAATAAAGAAGTTTAATTTAAGGAATTATTGTTATTTATTCATTAGACAAAAAAGAAGAAAACTTCAACAAGTTATTTAAACACATACAAACGGTTGTAAATAGGGCTTTGAGGTTTGAGTAATTAGTTATGTTCTTCGATCTTATTTTTTACTCGTACTTGTCCTCCAGTAACATGCTTAAATAAGTCATATATTTTTTCTCTATAACCATCAAATTTTTCAACAATTGAATCCTCATGAAAGATAACATCAGAGTTTAGGTGCACTAGTAAAAATTATTATAGGTTATTGTTTTGAAGATACGTTATAAGTTGTGTTCTTCTAATACTTGTAAGATTGTTTAGCCTTTTTGGTTCTATTTTATTTTTTTGTTTCTTTTTGATTCGAAGGTAGCACGTCAGAGACACCACACAGAATCCTAAAATATTTCCATCATTCAAATCAACCAGTTATGGACTAGTTATGGCGTTGCGTTTGGTTAGAAAAACATCTTACCCAATACTGCAAGAATAGCAGTGTTTATTAATTACAATGACAGAATATCATTGACAATAAACGAATGGGTATTTATAAAGATGTTATTATTACTTGTTAGAATACAAGTATTATTTGATAATATAAGAAAGA